CCGCCGCTCTCTCTCACACGTACTCTCTCTCAAATAAATAAATAATAACCTTTAAAGAAAAACAAAAAAAACCCCTCAGACCTCATCAGGCCCTCTTTATCTAGCTGCCTCTGCCTGAGTATGTGCCTTCTGGGCAGCTTTCCCCCCATCTCCACCCCAGCAGCGTCCCAGCCTGTCAGCTCTGGAAGGCTGGTTCTGGGAGGTGCGAAAAGCAGTTCCCTAAGAAAGGGGTCCGTGGAGAAGCATCACCGCATATCAGCACGTTAAAGGATCTGATAAGTCTCGCAGACAGGAGGCAATTTCATTTTTTTTTTTTAAAGATTTTATTTATTTATTTGAGAGAGAGAATGAGATAGAGAGAGCATGAGAGGGGGGGAGGGTCAGAGGGAGAAGCAGACTCCCCGCCAAGCAGGGAGCCCGATGCAGGACTCGATCCCGGGACTCCAGGATCATGACCTGAGCCGAAGGCAGTCGCCCAACCAACTGAGCCACCCAGGCGCCTGAGGCAATTTCATTTTATTTGACCCACTCTTCCCCAAATGTCTTTTAAACCTGAAATTCTTTCTTGGCTGGTTAACATCTTGCAGAGTTTATGTCTCAAAACACAATTGGGGAACATCGCCCACACCTTTTTCTCCCCAGATTGCTGGATAGTTCATCTGGACCCTCAGATTCTAAGACTGCAAAACGCTCGAGGCCTCAAGGCTCTTGCTTTGGCCTGCCCAGGCCAAGAGGGAAGCCGGGCATTTGCCAGCCTCGGCCTGCGCCAGTCACCCTGCTAGTGCTTCCGGCCACTGAGTGCGCTCCTGGGGCAGCTGGGTCCTGAAAAGCGGGGGAGGTCTGACCCAGCCCTCTGGTTGGTTCTCCCCACAGATACCAAACTGGGGCCCGAGGCCTTCTGGTTTAACTCCGGCAGAGAGGCCGTGGCCACACAGCTGAGCGAGAGCTACTACATCCTGCGGCCCGAGGTGGTGGAGAGTTACATGTACTTGTGGCGACAGACCCACGACCCCGTGTACAGGCAGTGGGGCTGGGAGGTGGTGACGGTGAGTGCGCGGGGCGGGGGCCCTGAGAATTCAGTCCGCCTCCAAAGCGCCCTAGCTCAGGCCTGGGGAGGAAGGTCACAGCAGGCTGACATCTGGCTAAGGGTCCAAGTGCAAAGGGTCAAGGAGTGGTTGCAGAGCCAAGAGTGCCCGGCTGGGCCAAAGCAGGCCGGGAACTTGTGAAGAGGGTTCTGGGTGCCCACAGCCTTTGGGGCTAGCAAACTCAGAGGGCTAAAGGCAGGGCACGAGCCAGAGGGGCCCAGAGCACATGCGGTCACTGCTTTCTGACCCCAAGCCAGAGAAGATGGCTTTAGATTTCTCCTCTCAAACAGAGAAAAAATCTGCCAGGCCGGCGGATCACCTCCCTCCTCTGCCCAAAGCCAGCCCAGCCCTGGGTGGCCCCCACCTGTCTCTGGGCTCTGCTCCCCAGCCTCCGCGTCTCCTCCACTAGCCTGCTTGTTCCCAACCACCCAGCAGGAAACCTCCTGGCCCTCTGTGGGGTAGGTGTCAAAGGCAGGTATGGAGAGTCCAGAAGGATGTCTCTTGAGGGATGCTAAAGCTCCTCTGTCCGCCCCACTTCCCAGCTTCCCCTAGGGCCCCCTGCTCTCAGAGCCATAGACTGTCCTGGGGAAAAGAACCTCACCCACACGCAGGCAGGGCACAGGCCCACTCAGGTTCACATACATGGTTCATTGGCCAGAATCCCCCTGCTCCCCTGAAGCCCCTGGTTCTTGATCAGTGAAAGCCAAGAGTTTTGTGCTCCTGGGCCCAGCTCCCAGGTCCCTCAGTGTGTAAAAATGGCATTTATATACAAAAGGCAGACAGCACTTGGCCCTCTTACCTCTGGACGAGGGACCGTATCTCCACAGGGACTCCGTGGGGTGTGCTAAGTCTAGTCCCCAAATCCCAGCCCTCCACTGCCTTCCTCTGTCCACCGCTGTGGGTGGGTCTGTCTGATCAGCCTTGTTCCCTAAGGGGCCAAAAGACCATCCCCTAGGTTCAGACCAGGAGAAGAGCTCGAGCCAGCAGCCTGCTGGGACGAAGTTCTTGGCCCCGGGGGCAGGGCGGCTGAGCCCTGAGACAGGAATTTGGCTTTCTGCTTCCACAAATGCCAAGTGGTCCGGGGCCTGCCTGTTCACAACCTGGGCAGGCACGAGTCTTGGGGGGGCCTCTCTTCTCCCCGGACCAAAGCTACCCCGCTTTTCTTCAGGCCTTGGAGAAATACTGTCGAACAGAAGCTGGTTTCTCCGGGATCCAAGATGTGTACAGTAGCATCCCCAACCACGACAACAAGCAGCAGACTTTCTTTCTAGCGGAGACACTAAAGTGAGTTGGGGCTTGGCCGGTGTTCTTTCCAGAGGGACTGGGACTCTCTTAGGAATGGAGGGAGGAGGAGGGCGAGGCGTGGGGTCAGCAGGCCCTCCCTTCACCCACAGTCAGGTTCTGCCATCACAGGGGGCCCACGAGGGGTGGGGGGCCTGGGGTCCCCAGGGTGCCACTCGGGCCAGGCCAGCTTCTCCCCTCAGGGAAAGACCAGACAGCACCCCACCTGCAAGTGCTAATTTAGCTTCTGTAACCTGTCTCCTAGGGTCCCTTGGTTCTCTGAAACCATGTCCTCTTCTATAAAATGGCAGGAATGGTGGTGACGATGGTCACTGCTGTTGATCTTCCCTCGACAGTTTTGCTACCGCACTATTCCCTCGCTTTCCTGGGGTAGAAGTCAGCCACCCTGTTTCCTTGCTGTTCACCAAAGCCGTCCCCCTGTGCTTAACCCTTTACAGTGGGTTGGAATGGTCTGTTCTTTGGCTTGGGAAGCTGGAGTTCTGGAGTCACAACTCCCTGTTCATTTTAGTGCCCTAACATCTGCTTGAGTCTAGAGTCTCCTGGGGGGCACATCAGGGAGCAGCCCAAGAGTTTGGACGGGTGCAGTACTCAGGACACCGTGAAAAGAAAGAAGAATCTAGGCCATAAGGGGGCCTGGCCGGCCTCTCCTACAGGTGGCAAAAGTACCTGAGTGAAGCCCGATGGGTAGGAAGCAACAGAGGGAGGGCAGGGGCAGAGCCAGCCTTAAACCAGGTCTGACTGCCCCAAATCTCAGTGCTGTCCTCAGCATCCCCAGCTCCTTCCCTGGGACCAGTGCTGCAAGTGGCCTGGGGATCTCAAACCTCCCTGCACCCTTAGCCACAGGCCCGTGTTGCAGAGGCCTCCGAGATGGGTTGCCAGCGGTCCCCGGTTCCCCAGAGCCCTGACCAGCTGTGTCATGCTTCCCTCCCTGCCCCGGGGGCACAGGTATCTCTATCTTCTGTTCTCTGAAGATGACATGCTCTCCCTGGAAGACTGGGTGTTCAACACAGAGGCCCACCCCCTCCCGGTGAACCACTCGGACAGCTCCAGCAGGGCTGGGGGCCGACTCTGACCCGTCTCCCTGCCGCACCCGGGACCCCGGAGGGGTGCCTTGCCTTTTCAGGATTTGGGACTGTTCTCAAAGGGATTGGGAACGTAGGACCCATTCCAGGCAGACCCAGGGCAGATGTGTCGGACAAGCAACTTCTTTTCCTCTGTGAGGAGACAGGACTTGGAGACGCAGCGATGTCACCCCAGGCCCGGACTTTCCTTTCTATGGAGAATTTCTATGAAACCCACTCACTTGCCATTCCAGGGCCCAGTGGATGGAGGCTTGCATATTGTCTCCATGCCTTTGATTCACTTCCTCTCATTTGGGGAGTTTTCTGTTCATTTGTTTTGCTTGATTTTGCCTTTTCTCTGCAGTTGTGTTTTATCACAAATTATAAATATAGTTTCAAAATCATGTGCTTTCGAAAGCAGCATCATCTTGATACACTAAACCTTAAAATGTTTGCACACAGAAACCTTGACCCCATTTTCTATATTTTAAATGCCTTTTGCCCAACATTTACTATACGTTCAACTACGTGGCATTTACCTTATAATTTGAGGAGGCGTTCCCTTTTGATTTGGGCCTAAGTGTTAACGAATCACTAGTGCCATTTTCATTATTGTAATGGAAAAATCTGTAAGCCTACAATAAAACAGTTTATTGAATAAGAAATACAATTGGGTTCATTACACATCAGTGATTCCTGGGAAAACCGTGGCAATGTTACCACCCAAAAAAATAATCAACCAGCAGTTGATTTAACGTAAGTTTAGACTCCAACTTCTATTGCCTTCCCTTAAATTGGCCTGGCAAATTCAGGAAGGGTGAAGCCAATCCTTTAAATGGAGGCGCATATTTATACTTAAGTCAAGGCTTGGAAGAGGCCCAGAGAGGGCCAGCAGCTTGCCTGTGGTCATGAAGCCAGGTAGAGGCAGAGGTGAGCCCAGTCCCTACAGTTTGCTCACGACCCCGTGTCCATCTGTTCGCGTTCAGCAGATGCGTGCTGAGTGCCCGCAGGAGACCAGACACTGGGCTAGATGCCAGGGACACAGCCGGGAGTGAAACAGTCACAGGCCCTGCCCTCAGGGAGCGTACAGCCAAGTGGGGGAAAGATAGACCATAAAGTAAAGGGACAGATAAGTAACATGAGTGCGAGCCATATGAAGTGCCACAGAGGAGATGTGGGGCCGAGACACTAGTGGCCAGGGCTGATAATGAGGGCGTCAGGGAGAGCCTCTCTGAGCAGAAGACTTTCAAGCTGAGGCCTAGAAGATAAGAAGGAGCAGTGGGAGGAGTATCCCACAAACCCACTCTCCCCCCACCCACCCAGGGGCCCAAAACCTTGAGGCCATTATGCAGAGCAAGGTGTTCAGGCAGCTCTTCCCACAGCTGACCACACAGGGTAATTCTGAGCCTTCCCGCATGCTCAGCCACTTCAGTTTGGCTGTTAAGAACTTGAGTAGTCCCTGAGGTATTGGAGCCTAGGCCAAGTGACCTGGCTTTACGTCCCCGCAGTGGGACCTCAGCTAGGTCACCTCACCCCTCAGGCCACTCTTCCATCAAACAGAGGGAGGAACCTCCACCTCCCAACGTTGCTGTGAGAATAAGCAGGATCCCCTGGTGCCCTGACAGTGCGGGAAGTGCTTCTTCCTTATTCTGGAGACATAGATGCTTCCAGCATCTTCTTAAGCAGTGGTCAGAGCTATGGGTGAGCCGTCCCCATGGCAGGAACCCTGGTGTTTGGTGAGTAAGTCCCTGCTTGAACCCAGGAAATCACTTCACTCTTGACAGGCTCTGGAGACCTGTCTGTGCCCATTTAAAAAACAAAACAAAACAGAAAAACCCACTGTACAAGCATTGTGGAAAGGGTGAGGAATATCTTTATGCTAAGCAGAAAGAAAAACCATCCACCATTCTACTCTCCAGAATAAATACTGTTATATTTTCTTCCAGATCTTTTTCTATGAATGTACAGAATATATTTTGCAAACATGGTGTCATACTATGCGTCCTGTTTTACTGTAATCTGCTTTTGCTCTTAACTATATATTGTGAAGATCTTTCCATGTCAACAAATACACATTTATCACTGTACCTGGTTGTGGAGTGTTCCATTGTGTGCTGTATCATGCTTTCTGGATCTAAGCCCCTATTTCTGGGCATTTGGGTTTGTGACAGTTTGGGCTCTCAGTTACGAATAATAGAAAACAACTCTGTCTAACTTAAGCAAAAAAAAAAAAAAAAAAAGGAAGGAAGGAAGAAAAAAAAGAACATATTGAAATGCCTTGCAGTGACTCATGGGATCTCAGGAGAGTGAACAGTCAGACCAAAAGAAGGACTAGAAAGAGGATGTGGCCAGGAATCCAAGCTGCAAGAACCAAGGGGGCAGTCTCCCCAGTACCCCCATCAGGACAGGTGACTTCAAACCTTTCCAGAGCCGATGGTCTCCCTTCAAAGAAGCGGGCTTCCCATTGGCCTAGCCTGGGTCACGTGCTCCCAGCAGGTGGAAGGTGGGGCATCTTGACTGACAGACCCACCAGGACCCCGTGCAATGCCCCACAGGCTGGTGTCCGGAGAAGAAAACGAGGTTTGCTACCAAAATAATGAAGCCACGCGCTGGTGAAGGCAAAACAACAGGACTGTTCGCAGGTTCTGCTTTGATTCTTTTCAGTATTATAAAGAGAGTTATGAAAGCATCCTTGACCATTCTTCTCTCCCCTCTCGTTCAGCTCCTCAGAGTCAACTCGGGGAATGTCTCTCCGTTGCAAAGCCACTTGGCAGTTCCCCAAGGCCCCGGGCTCCCCCGCTGGGCCCATGTTGCTGTGCCCCCCTCTCCTGCCACCAGGCTTCTGTCTTCTGCATTATCGCTGGGGGCAAGTTGTAAAAGTGAACATTTCAAAATTCATGCTCCAGGAGGGCCCTTGCAGGTGGAGAAATATCATCCTTTTGGCAAAGTTAACTCCATTCCAGGGATAAAAATAAGTAAGACCCAAGGTAGGCTGAGAGGAGAGAGAAATTAAGGGATGAGTCATCCTCTGGGAAGGAGGAGCCACAGAATCCCGGTTCTGGAACCAGTCCTGGCAACAGACACTCCTTCCCCCACCAAGGGTCAGCATGCTGCCAGTCTCTTTTGAAGTCTCGTCGGATGGAACCCCCTTTTGCACCTGTTTTCTTCACGGAGGGGCGTGATGCTGGTTCCTGCCCACAAAGCTTTATTAGCACCTGGCTCCAGGCACTGAGGCCTGCCGAGCACCACACCCCTGAGAAGCAGGACAGAGTCCTTCTCCAGATGCTTCCTTTTAAACGACTGCGTTTGTTTAGATGCTTTGTACATCACATTGTGTCCTTGGCAATTTGCAAAGTTCAAAAACCCAATGCACTGGAAAGAAAAGCAAAAACAGAAAATCTGATTTAAAGGCAACATCCTTGAGACCCACGATGTGAATCTCAGTTCTGCCTCCTTTGCTTTGGGGAGGGGATCTCTTCGAGGTTTGCGAAGGTGCTGGAGATGGGGAAGGGCCAGCTCGTCCCAGCTACCCCACTGGGGCTCTGTCCTTGGAAATATGCTCGTTGATTATGTGGCACAGAGATGCTCAGCCCTCTGTGACTAAAGCTTAATCACACGCTAATGGGGGTGCTAATGCTATTTTTTTATATCTAAAAATATCTGTTTGGTTCCCTATATTTGGAACAATATTTTGATCTTGCTCCTTCTGTCTCTTAAGGCAGAGCTTTTCAAACTTGAATGTGCACCTGAATCACCTGGGGATCTTGTTAAAATGCAGATTCATATTCAGCGGATCAGGCGCGGAGCGTGAGCTACTGTGCTTCTAACAAGCTCCCAGGAGATGCTGATGCTGCCGGGCCTCAGACCACACTGAAGAGCAAGGCCTCAGCTAATGCCCACTCCTTTGGTTTCTGCTCTTTATTTGCATCCATGGAGGGGCGACTGGGTGGCGCAGTCGGTTAAGCTTCTGACTCTTGGTTTCAGCTCAGGTCCTGATCTCAGGGTGGTGAGATCGAGCCCTGTGTCAGGCTCACGCTCAGCATGGAGTCTGGTGGAGATTCTCTCCCTCTCCCTCTGCCCCTCCTGCTCGTGCTCTCTCTCTCAAATAAATCTTAAAAAAAATTATTTGCATCCATGAAGTCATAATGTCCCCTGAGTGGAGGGGCTCTGCTGTTGGGATGGCATCTTGCTTTGATGGCAGAGGAAGCTGTCACCTGCATCAGCGGCTGCCCGCCCCTCCAACACAGCGTGGACCAGACAGGAGCAGGCTTGCTGGTGGCTTAGCACAATGCTGTCCAGTAGAACTTTCTGTGGTGATGGAAATACTCTATCTCTGTGCTGTCCAATAGGGTGGCCACAGGTGGATATTGAACACTTAAAATGTGGCAAGTGCAACTGAGGATCTAAATTTAAATTTTTATTTCATTTTAATTAAATTTAAATAGCCATATGTGGTCCCTGGGCGCCATTTTGGACAGTTCAGTCCTAGAACCTAGAAAGCCAGTCCTCTGCTCACTGACTCCCTGCCCCACTGGACCCTCCCCCACCTGCATCATTACAAAAATAATCTTAGCACAAAATCCTCACCCACTGTAGATCTGCAAATCTGCATGCATTAGATCAAGTTGAAGATAAGAAAGGCAGAACCGGAGAGGGTGAGCACAGACTGACTGAAACCATGACCTGCCCTTTCCCTGGGCTGTGTGACCTTGGGCAAGCCCCTTAACCTCTCTGAGCCTCTGCCTGTCGCTGTGGAAAGGGAGGGTGATTTCAAGGGTTAATTGAGCTCCCCAGTTTAGTAACTCAATACATATAGTAATGATTGTTACTGCTACTATGTGAACGCTCTCTGTAAACTAGAAAACGCTGGTGTCAAAAATCCTTCTTTTTAAACAAAATGCTCTGAAACTTGGAGGAAACTACATCAACCAGGCCCAGGAGACAACCCAAAATCTCAAAGCGATAAATCTGAACATTTTCCGCTTTTCACATTGAGCAAGCATTTTGCTGTTAGCCCTGAATCTATGAAATTGGGAAACTGGGGTAAAGATCCAAGGGCTTCCAGGGGCTGGCCTAGTTGGTGGGGGGCAGGTGGGGCTCAGGCAGGGGTGGGGCTTAAGGAAGATGCTGGGAGCTTGCCCAGAATCTAGCAGAGGCCCTCTGCTTGCAGGGGCGGTGGGGGGGTGGGGGGGCTAGTGGGGGAGGTCCCGTTCATCTTTCCTCTTCAGGACATACCTGGTGAATCCTTCCTACAACTCTGGCAGGGAGGCACGGCAGGCAGAGATTTATAGAGCGGGAAACTGAGGCTTAGGTCAGACAGTTGTTCCTGGCCTCTGGGCAGATGCCCACAGTGGTTCCCCCACCACACCCTTCCTCTCCCCTCCTCACGTAAATGACCCCAAATCTAGGGTGGCCCTCATCCTGCTCATGACATTTGCTTATGACAGTTTAGTTTTTAAACCTGTTGTTCCAGCACATTAATTAACAACGCCCCCTTTGCTCTCAAAAGTGTCCCAATTTGGACAACAAATTATGAGCCCTCCCTGGTATAAGTGTAAAGAATGGTAACTGAGATCTGTCTCCCGGAAGCCTTCAGTGTTTTAGAGAATGGTAAAACTCAACCCAGAAAAGCATGCAAATAGCCCAGAGATTCTTTCCTTGGGAAACCAATCTAGAATTGCCCATGTTCTCACATACCTCCATGCATTTCCATCCCTGCCCCTCGCCTGGACTGTCCTCTGCCCCCCAGGTATGCCTACTAAACTCCTCAAGGTTGCCCTCAATGTCACCTCCTCCAGGAAGCCTTCCCTGACCTCTCCCTACCCCTCCATTGAAACAGGCGTATGCACACGCATGCATGCCCACACCTCAACTTCCCTTTCCCAAGGCTTTGGATTTATTGGCCAACCTTGCAATCATCAGGGGTGTGGCTGTCTCCCTGCCAGGAGACACCCAGAGCCTCCTGCCCTGACCCTCAGGAGCCCCTTGCCACCAGTCACTATTCCCTTGGGAGTTCCCCTGAGACCTGGGGCGGGAGGTTCTTCTTTGGCCCACAGAATGATCCAGCATTGGGCAATCATTAGATCCGTGGTTCTCAGAGTGTGGAAGCTGGGTCTGGGGCGCCGGCAGTAACAGGAGCTTGTTAGAAATGCAAGTTCTCAGGCCCTGCCCCAGACCTTCACAGGTCATGGGGCTTATTGCCCAGGCCACCGTTCCAGAACCCTCCAGGCTTTGCCATTAACCATCTCTGCCAGGCAGTGGGCAAGGTGCCGCAGCTGCAGCTTTGACAAGACAGACAAGGTCTCCGCCCCCGTGGGGCTTCCAGGCCAGTGGCAGGGTGGGGCCGGCGTGCAGACGGAGCTCGGTGCTCGGGAGGCCACAGGCAGGGGACATATGAGAGTGACGGGGGGGGCACTGGAGATGGGGAGCAGACCTGTGTGACACACCATTCCAGGCAGCAGGAACAGCGAGTGCAAAGGCTCAGAGGTAGGAAGTACGGGGGCACCCGAGGAGTGGGAAGGCAGCATCGAACGCAGGGCGCTGTGCGGTGGGTCGGAGCAGGTGGGATGGACCCGCTCCATCCTGCAGGGCCTCGAGTCTGATTTTAATCTGCAGAGTCTGATTTTAATCTGAGCAGCAAGAAGCCAGAAAGAGGTTAAAGCAGGGCCATGAGATGACCTACTTCGCATCTGTGCAAGTTTCCTCTGACTTCTGAGGGGAGAGGCCTCCGATTCATCTCCCCCTTACCTGTGTCTCAGTGGAAACCCTTCTCTGCTTCCGAAGCAGGAGCTGCTGAGACTGGTCCCCCTGGGAGTACCGGGGAAGCAAGGGCCTCCTGCCCTGTGTTTCCATGGTGCTCTGGACTCTTCCCATCTGGAGCGCAACCGGAGACTTCAAGGCACCGCAGCCTCTCCTTTGACCTCTGTTCCTGCAGCTTCCACTCCCCTCTGTGGCCCCACTCCTGTCAAGCAGGTCCAGCTGCGCTTTTGAAAATTGAAGCTGCTTCCTCAGATGGCCCTTCTCCTCTGCCAGCCTGTGTGGAACCAAGGCTGTTTTCTGGCTCCGGGGCCTTCTCTTTTCTCTTTGGAATCTTCTGGATCTGGGGCAGGTTGCACCTTACCCTTTGCTGTGTCTACCTGTGTCCCCTGGTTGCACCTTACCCTTTGCTGGGATCTCTCCTGCTGAAGACCAGACAGACGTGTCCAACCTTCTAATCCCACCTCACCAGAGGCCAGGAGCTATCTGCCTCCTCCTCTCTCTTTCATCTTTGTCTCTACATCCTCGATCTTTCTCTTAAGGAAAACCTTCATCCCTCCAGCTCAATCACTGTGTCTTCCTTTATTTGACTTTTATGTTTCCATGGCTCCAGTGTTTTAAATTAGTCCCATTTTTCCTTGAGCCTTTATTTTTTTAAATTTCTTTAAAGATTTTATTTATTTATTTGACTGAGAGAGAGCACAAGCAGGGGGAGCAGCAAAGAGGGAGGAGCAGGCTCCCCACTGAGCCGGGAGCCCGATGCAGGACTCGATCCCAGGACCCTGGGATCATGACCTGAGCTGAAGGCAGACGCTTAACTGACTGAGACACTTAGGTGCCCCTTCCTTGAGCCTTTAAATGAATCTTTTTTAAAAAGACTTTATTTAGGGCGCCTGGGTGGCTCAGTTGGTTAAGCGACTGCCTTCGGCTCAGGTCATGATCCTGGAGTCCCGGGATCGAGTCCCGCATCGGGCTCCCTGCTCGGCAGGGAGCCTGCTTCTCCCTCTGACCCTCCCCCCTCTCATGTGCTGTCTCTCTCATTCTCTCTGTCTCAAATAAATAAATAAAATCTTTAAAAAAAAAAAAAAGACTTAATTCATTTGAGAGAGAGAGAAAGAGAGAGCACGCACAAGTGCAAGTGGGGGTGGGGCAGAGGGGGAGGAGGAGGGACAAGCAGACTCCTTACCCTCCTTGCTGAGCGGAGCCCAACGAGGGGCTCAGTCCCACGACCCTGAGATCATGACCTGAGCCAAAATCCAGTGGTCGCTCAACAGACTGAGCCACCCAGGTGCTCCCAAATGAACCTTTTTTTAAAAGAACTTTTTTGGGGGGCACCTGGGTAGCTCAGTCGGTGGAACCTCCGACTCTTGGTTTCAGCTCAGGTCATGATCTCAGAGTTGTGGGATCGTGCCCCGAATCATGTTCTGCACTTAGTGAGGAGTCTGTTTGGGACTCTCTCTCCCTCTCTCTCTGCTCTTCCCCCCCACCGCCCCTTCTCTCTCTCAAATAAATAAATAAATCTTAAAAAATAAATAAAAATAAAAGAACTTTATTTTGTTTAAGTAGGCTCCATGCCCAGCATGGAGCCCAGCACAGGTCTTGAACTCACCACTCTGAGATCAAGACCTGAGCCAAGATCAAGAGTCTGACGCCTAACCAACTGAGCCACCCAGGCGCCCCTTAAAAGAGCCTTTCCACTGAGGTATAGTGTAGACACAGTCACATGTGTAGAAGTCACTAATCTTAAGGGCACAGCTCCAGCAGTGTTCACCTGTGTACACATTCCGGTAGCCTCCCCTCGCATCAAGATAGAGAATATTCCCAGCATCCAGAGAGCTCCCTCCTGCTCTCTGCCAATACCCGCCATCCCTGGAGTGAACCCTGTGCTGACCTCTTCCGCCACGGACTGATTTCAGGCACATGGCCTTTGCATTCCCTCTCAGTCTTCAGATCATAGACATTCCACTTAGTTTTCGGTCTCAAATTTATGAGACAACTTATAACAACTTATGTCCTATATACTCAGGGCTCTAACGCTTTTTTGTCTGGTCATCATAAAGCCCATCTACCCCTCTGTGGGTGCGGTGCACGAGTAAGCACTTCGGGGCACCCGGAGACACGGTCTTCCCGTGGTAGGGGGCCAGCTCTTCCCGGCTTGCCCAGAACTCTGCTGCTTTTCAAACTGAGCAGGCCCCAGCCTCAGCACCCCTCAGTGCTGGACAAACCGGGAGCTTGATCACCCCAACCCCTATTCTCTCCTCGGCCCTGGGCACAGTTCAGAGCAGACGAGTTTGGGGCTGTTGACCCAGCACCATCTTCCCGGGCTCGACACTAACCATTGGGAGGCCCCCAAATGTCCAACTCATTTCTTGGGGCTTGCATGACACTCGCCGGTCTTTGCATTTGAGAGCCTCAGCCTCCAGTCCTGAATGAGCAACAGGATTGGAGGAAGGGTGTTTTTATAAGAGGGAAAAATTCTTCTGGATTTGGCATTCACCGCTCAGCACTCCAAAAAACCCCAGCCAGGAAAACTCAGCGAGTACCCGCTCCAGCCCTGTGATGCTCCAGCCCAATGGCGCATCAGAGCCACTGGGCTGTCGAGCGGCTCCCAGGGCCCCTGCGGCCATGGCGCTGAGAAGAAAGCTGTCCACATGCGGGCCTTTCCTGACCCCAGGAAATAAATCTCCCTGCCTGGACAGGACGAGAGAGCCTAGCCAAAGGCAGTCGTGACCCCCACAATTCATCTCTTTTCTGGCTAATCCTGGCATCAGCCCTGTGCCTGCGAATCCAACCAAAGCCCCTCAGCACTCAGGGGCACGGCCACATCTGTGGCCACGTACCAGCCGCCGAGGCCACGCAAACCAAAGGCCTCTTCTCTCTTCTTCAATGGTCTCATTGAATCCTGTGGCTTTAGTGTCATTTATAGGCTGGTGACTCGAAAGTTTACGGTCCCCAGAGCTCACAGCTGCAGACTCCTGCACATGCCCCCTCCCCAGCACTGCGCTCCACACGAGGCTCAGGGTCATGTCCACACGGCAGTCTGGGACTCTCAGGCTTTCCCACCTCGGGAAGGACACCACTGTCTACTGGACACGGTCTGCACGGCCCCCACCCCCAGCCCAGGGCCCCGATGCTTTGGGCTGATACTGAACCAGCCCCCCCACTCCCTCTGTCTACTCCTGCTCCCCTCAGTCTGTTCTCTACCCAGAAACCAGAAAGGTCTTAAAAACAAAAAACAAAAAACAAAAAACCTCAGCTTTATTGGGACATAATTTTTATGCCATAAAGTTCACCCATTTAAAGTATACAATTCATGTTTTTGTAGTATATTCACAGATTTGTACAACCATCACCATAATCTCCTTTTAGAACATTTATACCCCAAAAAGAAGCTTTGTGCCCATTACTAGCCACTCCCTACCCCCACTCCCGTGCCAGGCAACCACGAATCTACATTCTATCTCCGGATTGGTCTTTCTGGACCTGCCATACTAATGGAATCCTACAATACCCTACAGTCCTACAATTGTGTCTGGCTTCTTTGTTTCAGTGTGATGTTTTTGAGGTTTGTCCGTGTTGTAGTACGTAGTGGTGCTTTGTTCCGTCTTATTGCTCCCAAATCTCCGTTGTGCGGATCTGCCACGTTTTGTTGATCTACTCATCAGAGGAGATGGAGGTTGTCTCCTTTTTGGCTATTAGAAAAGTCTGTCTAAAGACACATCAGGTAACTACACTGGAATTAAAATAAAAAGCTTAATTAAAAAAATAATAAAAACAAGTGACACGTCACTCCCCTCCTTAAAACCCTACAATGATTTCCATTGTATCCAACGACAGCTTGTTGCCTCGGCCTACAACGTCCGTGCGGCCCTGGCTCTCTCACTAGCCCTTCCTGTTACTCCACACAGCCCGCCCTGCCTTCCACGCGTTTCCTGAACACACCAAGGCTGTTTCCTCCTCAGGGCCTCTGCACTGGCCCCTCAGCCTGGGATGCCCTCCCTTCGGCTCTCCCTTCTTTCCTTTCCTCCTGGGGAAGCTGCCTGCCCCCTGCCTGTCTCACCCCTTCACGGTTACCATTATCCGAAGTGATCTTCTTTGCGTGTGTATCACCTCTCTCCCCCTGCTAGAATATTTGGCTCCAAAAGAGGAAGTACCTCGTCTGTCTTCACTACTGTGTTCCAGGAGCCTAGACTAGTTCCGGGCACACAGTAGGGCCTGAGCTTGTCGAGAGGCCCCCGTGGTCCGGGCAGGTAAAGCCTCCCCTTTCCCAAGTGGCATTTTGCTCCCAAATGCTGGTCCTGTGATTGGCCAGCAACATGTCAGGGGTTGGGTTCAGAGCAAATAACCCCTCTGCCCGTCCAGGTTCCTCGAGTTAGAGGAGAAGCACAAAACCCAGCGCCAGATGGCTTTCCTCCCCCTTGGACCCCAGCTCATTATCCTCCTAGAGCTGCAGTCGAAAACCGTACTTTGATCTTCTCCCTGGAGAGCAGGGGCCCCTCCCCAGCAAGTCTGCCCCAGCGAAACAGCAAGCGGAAGAGAGGATGCTACTGGAGGGCAGGCAGGTGTGTGTGTGTGTGCGTGTGCGTGTGTGTGTGTGAGAGAGAGAGAGAGAGAGAGTGAGTGCGCACAAGCCAGAATATGAGGCAGTGATCCTGGCCCTGCCTTTTCTTCCAGCGGGCGGATGGAGCGCCCCTGGGTGTCTGCACCAATGCCCCCTGTGGACACAGCAGGGAGGGGAAGGACCGGAAGCCTCTGTGGCCGAATGTCCCACTCTTCGGATGACTCTGTTGTCTTGAGGATAAAGTCCAAGCTTTTCACAAGTTGCTCGGAGCCCCAGCCTGTCTCTCGTGCCCCCCTCCCTTCCCCCCCCCCCCCCCCCCGCTCAAATTCTCATCATGCCAGAGACATGCCATTGACGTTCATGCCGCCAGGCCTTTGCCTCTGCTCTTCCTGCCCCTGGAATGATCTTCCCCTGGTGCTCTGACTGGTGACCTCCTGAACTCAGGGCCTGGCTGGCCTTCCACTCTGTGAAGCCTCTTCTGGCCCCTCTTGACAGTCACGGGGACCCTCCTCTGCATACAGCCCTCTCTCAGATCACTTACCTCCGGGGAAGGTGGGAGTGGGGGTCATAGTACCCATTGACTTGTCTAGAAGAGCAGATTCCATTTGTCTTCTCTTGTGGATCCCCAATGCCCAGAACGAAGCATACAAGACCCTCCATAAACATGTGTTGAACGGGTGTAAGAATGATTTCCCTGCTCACCTGGGAGCCCCTCAAGGACATAGCCAGCATGCCACGTACTTTGATGTAATTTCCACTTGCCGCTACTCCCAAATACCACCCTTGCCCACTCAGGGCTCAGAGACAAGGTGCCAAAAGGCCCCTGCAGCGCCACTGCTGACCAGAGCGACCCTCCTGGCCCAATCTCTCAAGGCCCAGCCTTGCCCAGGTCCTTGGTTTGGAGACAAGCCTCCTGGGAAGGGTGTCACTGGTGGGACAACTAGTCCAGCTCCATTGCCCAAGCCCAGAGCTGTCTTCCCAGAGCTGGGTCCCAACATGGATCCTCTTCCCAGAGGCTCACGGATCTAAGTCAAGTCTCGTAAACCCACCCCTCGTCCAGCGCCCTCCCAATCCCAGCAGCCCATCTCCCCGGCCCTGGGCCACGGAGATCAGTGGGGTGTCTGTGTCTTTAACAAGAACCAAGTGTAATACATAAAAGTATTCTGGCAAAGAAAACTTCCCTCATTTATTTTCCAGGGGCCTTGGCTCATCAATCTTCCCCTTCTAACCTGCTTTGTGCTCTGTTAGCTTTGCTTCCTGATAGAGCAGAATTTGGTTTTCTAATAGCATCTGTCATACGCAGGGTGTCCCCAAACATTAGCGGTAATGAGTTGGAAGTAGCACAGTTGGAAGCCTTCAGAAGCCAACAGCAGATGTCAGCCCCTCCGTGGGTCCCCCTGAGGCTTTGGGGCCAGAGCACTGGGTAAAAGCTAGGTCCAGAGCCCACAGCTCTCGGTCCCTGGGAATCATTCATCCAAAAGACATTAGAGTGCCTACCACGTGTCAGGTCCTGTGTGGGCTCTGGGAAGATGGGGCCCTGCGCACAGGGTGCTGTCATGGCTGGTTATCGATGAAGGACAGAAGTGGTGGTAGAAGAAAGTCCTCACCCCCAGTCATTCGGCTGGACCATCCCCCAGGAGGCGGCAGGGCATGAGATGTGGACTCAGACCTGGGTGGGCAAACAATCCTCACCTCAGTGGGTTGCTTGAGAACAAGTAAGAGCATAACACACCCAACACCAAGTCCAGCACATAGTGGTCCCTCCAGCATCTGGGACCGGACAGGTGCACATGGACTGGGGTTGGCAGTGATGAAGGATGGTGCTGCTGCTCGCCCAGGGCCGGGGTTCTTTTCTAGAGGCTTGGGCGGTTTCTGCCCTCTCCTGGGAAAGACAGAGCCATCCCTGGGCTCCTGGAGACCTTAAAATCATGGAAGAGGGCCCCGGTGGAACCAAGGCTTCTGGAGACAGGAACCAAAAGTATTGACAGATCCCAAAGTATTTCTTTAAACTCCACCCACCCCCATTCCCAGGTCCTCCTCCAGGCATGCCAAGAACTGCTCTCTAGAAAAATCGCTCCTGTGGTGGTGCCATGTCCAGCAGAGGAGAGGGAAGCTGGTAAGTCACAGTCCGGCCTTGCCCATGCCGAGGGGCTGCCAGTCGCACCAACCCAGGTATTTCTTCCGCGCCACAATCCACAGGGAGGGCCTCTTTTGACTCCCCCTTACAGGTGAGGACCTTCTGGCCCCAGCAGGTGAGGTTTTCAGGGCCGCGGCACCTGCGGGTGGCCGTGTACAGGTCGCTCCCCCCCCACCCCCCACCCCCGCCCCGCGAACGTGCAGAAGTGGAAGTCTATGGACCCTGACGGGGATGGAGTAGGGGCAGGGCTTTCTTGGTAGGTCTCCATTCTTCAAGAGGACTGAAGACGGTTTAGAAAGCAGGTGAGATAAGGGGGGCCTCCCTCGCGTCTGCCAACAGAGGGGGACACGAAGCCTGGTGGCCCTGAGTCCCCTCCCCGACGAGCTTCCGAGGTGCGGACGCCCCCCGCCCCCGCCGCCTCCCAGGCCTCCGCCCGGCGGGACGGGACGCCCAGGCCCCGCTTTCATTTTGGGAGCCGAGGCGCAGGCCGGGCTGGGAGGCGGGCGGCAGGGAGTCCCCGGCGCCCCCGCACTGACTCG